ATCCTATATTTGCATGACAGCCATGTTTTTTAACTTTCTTAAAATTCTATTTCTTGCTATATCTATAATCTAGTGTTTCTTCCTCCAAAAATAGCAGCTTTATGGCACTATATACACCACATAGTCAGGCATGCCTCACCCTACCCACCAAATGCAGTACACTGGACGTAAGTGAAACAGATAGCTGGCCACATGCTAGCTAGTTTCCCCATAACTGACCCGGCATTTCCACCTTTAGAGTTATCTTGGGATTCATCATATATTCATCATATTGACTAAGAAAGACTGCTCTTGGCAGCTGAGATGGCCAGCCTACCACCCAACATGGAAGGGGCTTTGAACCGACTTTCCTGTGGGGCTGATGGACTGGACTTACAGCCCTAAGCTGGCTTATAGGGAGTGACCAACACTTCCTCATCCAGGTTTGCAAATGACAGACCATTTTACAAGATGATTGAAATGCTGAGGGAAGTAGGCTTAGGTCCTACCTGGAATATTTTCTCTCTAGGTGAAACTAACTGATCCTCAAGAGAGGAAGCCCATGGCTCAGACTTCATTAGCATCTCACACCAACTCACAAAATTTACTCCAAGAAGAAACAGGAGGCAAAGAGTTTAATGGGTTTGGGGAAGAAGCCCTTCATTTTACATACTTAACAGGTCACTGGCAACTTTTCACGCCTTACTGAGAGAATCATCTGAGCCATTAGCGGGTCATTTGACCCACTTTCTTTAAAACCTCTCTAAGCTCAGAAAACAACTCTAATAACTCCAAGAATAGAAGGCGATGTGGGATTTTAGCCTGACCACTGTCTGCCAGGCAGATTTGCTGGCTACAGGCACTTCCCAGCAGTTAGTTGCTTGCCTGGGAGCTTCAAGATGCAGCACATTTTGAAGAACTTTCTTCTGCCCCTGGTGAGTTGCTCCTGGTACACTATTTTCATACTGTGTATTCAGCATCTATTACGTATGCCATGAGCTGGGCTGTGTACTGTGGTGTATATTGGGTATGGAGATTCTGCCCTCAGGGGCCTTCCTGTCTAGTGGGGGATGAAGACAGATCTAAATAACTTTCATACAGGGTAGAAAGTGACTGGTAATTCACAAATATTAAGATCCCACTATGTGCCAATTAATGTGCACTGCGTATTCATGGAGAGCAAGACAGACTAGTCCTTGTCCTTAGAATGGGTTTGTTAACTGAAAAAAAATAATAATAATGAGGTTTATATTATAATTTGGAAAGGGAGAGATTTTTTTCTCATAAAGTTTTCAGCCTGCAGGGGCCATTCCAGCAGGCAGGGAAACAGCTCCCGGCTACAAGCTAGGAACACGTGCCTTGGCGGGTGGGGGACACAAAAGAAACAGGATTTTATATTGAGCCGGGTGGCTAAATATACATATTTAACAAGCTATAGGAGGAGTCATGAATATTTATGAAAAGGAAACTATGCGCCTGCGCAAGGGGGCTTTCTGGCCTTTTACAGGGTCCATGTTTAAAAATGGCAGCCCTCTATGTCAAACATGTGAAACAAGGACACGAAAACCCTCTCAGCGTGTGTTCTGTAGGATGTTAAAACCACTTCATTGTTGGTCTGTTATCAGGAAAGAATGTCGGTCTGGCCTGTAGGAAACGAAGCCCGATGGCCGTTGGCAAGGGAGGGGTAAAACTGTGCGTGTCTGACCTCCCATCCTGTCATGGCTGGGAACTCAGTTTTAAGGATTTTCTGCGGTTCTGTTGGCTGAGTGGGGTTCAGTTCATTCGGTTGGGGGGCTTAGGATTTTATTCTTAGTTCACAGGCTCACTGAGTATTTGCTGAAGAGGGAAAAATAACAATTGTTCAGCACCCACTATAGGCCAAGCTGTCTGCCAGGCATTTTCTCATTTAATTTCCTCCCCATGAGTACTTGCTGTGGCAGGTGTTGTTATCCCCATTTCTAACAGATAAGGAAAGAGGAGCTCAGAGATGTTAGGTGACTTTCCCAAGGTCACTCAAATGGTAAATAGCAAAGATGGAATTCAAATGCAGAACTACCTGACTTGAAAGAGCCTGCACTTCCAACCTCACTACAGGTCCCATTAGCGTTTTATGGCAATACCTTCCTTCTGTGCAGTTGTGACTGATTTGTTTCCAAATTGAGGAGCCTCGTAGAACACAGATGGGCAAGCAATAAGTCATCCACTGCTAGTCCAAGATAAGGACTCACAAAGCCATGACTTGTACAACTCACAATGTTTGACTGACATTTGGACCTGTCTCTGGTTGCCCCTTGATGTCCTCTGGCATAAACTGTGTGATCCACTTATCTTCTTCTCAATAGAATGAGAGAACAAAAGGACAGAGAGGAGGAAATATAGCCACTTCCAGAGTTAGGGACCCAGCTCCGCCCACTTCTTTAGGATTTCTCCAGCCGGGCTGGCCCCACACACAAAGCAGACAGCCACCGCACAGCAAAGCTGAAATTCCAACATGGCTTCCACAGCAAAAATGATAGCCTCCCTCCCCCCACCATTTTTTCTTAACCCAAGGAAATTATTTTAATTCCTTTCCTTTTACTCTTTTGGGGGAACAGAGGAATTCAGGACTTTCACAGCTTAACATAGCCTTCAGAATGAAGTTAGTGAGCCAGGGTAGCCCTGCCCTGTGTGCCCACCTCTTCAGCACCATCTCCCCCAGTGCAGCCTGGGTAGCTTGTGACCTGCAGCTGTTTGTTCCTCCCCCAGTGCAGCCTGGGCAATTCCTGGCCATCCTCAGGGATTCAGTTCAGACAGCTCCCCGTCCAGAAAGCCTTCTCTGACCAAGCTCCTGCAGTGCATATGCAGTGGTGCTGCTGTGTGCCCCCACCCCTCCACGCTGCCCCTGGCATAGCATCTGCTGCACTGCACTGTGCCCAGGCTTTGCCAATGAACTACTTGTCTCCATGCTCCACAGCAAGAGGAATTGTGTCTGGTCTTTCTACTCCCGATATTGAGTTCAGCCCAGGAACCCAACAGACCTTGAAGAAGAGAAGAACTGAGGAAAGAGAAGGCTATGCCCAGACTCTCAGCCCACCACTTAACCTTGCTTAGCTCACCCTCACCTCAGACCTGGTGAAATTCCCTGGGGTCAAAGCTGTTAAGGGAAAAAAGGGTGAGGCCCAAGGAAAAGCAGGCTATAGAGGGAGTTACTGTTCTCTGAGAAAACAGGGAAAATCTGAGCAGGTGCTTCAGGGCTGCAGTGACAAAAGTTCAGAGCCATTGCTTGGGAATATCTGCAGTGCTCCATGGGGCAGTGAGGATGAGTCGGCTTCTAGTGCTCGCTGCACAGATGGCCTGAGCCTGTGTGTCATGGAGCAGTCTAAGGGGTCTCAGGAACAGCTGCTCCTGACCTGCATGTACTGGGCTTGCTAGAGGCAGGAAATTCCATGTTGTAATAGCTGGATTTCTTCCCTTCATTTCTAATCCATGACAAGGTAGTGAACTGGTCATTAAAGAAACCATTTAGGCAGATTTCAGGAACATCTGACTGGGCTGTCTTCTGCCAGCGTGCAAGAAGAGAAAAATAAAACAGGACCAAAAGCTCTGGGTCACACAGTCTCGCCTTCATTTCCATTACTAGCCTGACTTATGAAAGGAAGTGAGAAGTGTTTAAATGCACTTCTTCTCTCAGTGTCGTAATCAAAGATGGATGGAGCTGGGTTCACTATTTAAAAACACACATTTAAAAGCTCACTTGAGTGGCTGCGGCCACGTTATCAAGCTGAACACATGTTGATCTTAGTAGATTAGAAAAATAGTATCCGGGGAGGGAGTGCTTTTAAACAAGTGCTCTCCAAAGAATGAGCTATCAAGAAGCACTTTGCATACATGTAGCCCATGAACCTGAAGACACATAAAAGTAAAGTCAGTACTACGTCAGCAACTCCGAGCAGCAGGCTACAGAACGTGGCTGGCATAAGTTAGAGATATGGTTATAAAAGGTCGTGTTATTCAGTGTACCTTTCATTTCCTTCATGGCTAATGATAGGAAGAATCCAAAGATATCTTTACATTGCATTTGCACATTTTTTAATCAACTAGGGGGAAAACTCACACTTTTCTTCATATTTTATTTACGTTTTCCAAAAAGAGACTCAATATTTTTTTTTGGAAATTTAAATTTGCTTTTTCCATTCACCGAGAGAATTCTATGACTCTTGCATTCAATCTGTTCAATCTCGGTTTAGTTTCAAGTTGGGATTTTATTTCATTTCCAGACACGTGCAGAGTGGTTGGTATCCCTGTATTACTTCTCACTTCCGGGCACGATCGCTCGGCAAGGCAGTCAGCCTGCCAGGTACGTCAAACTGGCTACTTGGCACTCTCTGTACACCCTTTAGTTACATGAAACCGAATCCATACAGCATTTCCTTCTGCAACTGAGGCTCAAAATCCTAATGAATCAGTTGAGCACAGGAATATTTAATTCAAAAAATAAAAAACTTTTTAAAAATAAATGCTAAGTCCTTATTTAATTACTTGGTATCCTTCCTAGACTATAAAATATGCAGGTGGATTAATATTCTTTGTTTTCAGGGGCTTATTAACATTTCAAAGACAGATAAAAGCAGAGAGATTTCTAACAAAGAAATCGCTTCCACAATTCTGTACTCTGAAAGGTGGTTCAAACCAAAGAAAAGAAGACAATAAGCTAACAAGAAAGGGGTCCAGCATCCTTTTCCTTCAGAAGCTTGGTATTCTAGAGGCTAATATGGCTCAATGGGCAGCCTGCAGAGTGTCCTAGAGGCACCAGTAATATTCATCTCTGTCGAGAAATTTGGACTTGGCTTAGACCATCTGCTGTCACTGCAGCCCAAGGTTGCCTTTCATTTGGAAATCAGGCTGTCAACTTGGTTTAGAATATACATGGGTGAGGCATATGCTTCTCCTTGCTGCCTAAGGAGACGTTGGCATGGAGAAATGTTAAGGGTCCCAACTGAAGCTTGTGTTTATAAACTCTGTTCTCTTCTCTTCTCCCCTAGTTACTGTGACAGTGGGTGGCAAGCAACACTTGCTCGGACTGTATGACACCGCAGGACAGGTACATTTTTATTATCTTGATTCATTAAGGGGTGGGAAGGTGTAGGGGGAAGAATGATCTATTTGACTAGACACGTGGAAACTAATAGCACAGATATTACCCATTCTGATCATTTGGGGCCAATTTATTATCCACCTGAATGACAACTAAAAGCATAGTCTTGGTATTTTAAAAATACTTATTACTGCAAGGCCGGGCGCAGTGGCTCATGCCTGTAATCCTAGCTCTCTGGGAGGCCAAGGAGGGCGGATTGTTTGAGCTCAGGACTTCGAAACCAGCCTGAGCAAGAGCAGGACCCCGTCTCTACCAAAAATAGAAAGAAATTAATTGGACAGCTAAAAATATATAGAAAAAATTAGCCGGGCATGGTGGCGCATGCCTGTAGTCCCAGCTACTCGGGAGGCTGAGGCAGAAGGATCACTTGAGCCCAGGAGTTTGAGGTTGCTGTGAGCTAGGATGATGCCACGGCACTCTAGCCGGGGCAACACAGTGAGACTCTGTCTCAAAAAAAAAAAAAAAATACTTATTACTGCAAAAAACTATTTTGTTATCATATTCAAGGTATTTATAGGTAAATAATGATCCACTCATTGACCGATGGGCATCAATAACCAAAATAACATTTGACCAAGAGTTTCAATTTCCTCCAATGGAAACCTATTCCAGATCCAGCATTAATGGGTCAATTTCATAAATTTTAGTTCCACCCCCACTTTTTTCACGTTATTTTCTTTGTCCACCTTTTATTTGAGCTGTGAAAAGGTCCAAAAAGAAATTGGTGGGGGCAAGGGGAGGAGGTAGGGAGAAGCTGGATTAAGTGTTGGAGGGAAGAAAACCCAGGATCCTAGATGTTTTCCAAAATTGAGGGTCAACCCCTGAACAACTGGAGGTGGACTCTAAGTTCTCTAGGATTCTTGAAATATTGTCAGAAACATTTCAAGTTGAAGAACCTGGGCAGCCAATAATGTAAGGCAATGGACTAGAACCTCAACACTTAATCAGTTAACACACGCTCTAGTTGGGTGAAAATACCACCTTATCTGTCTTTCTTAGATCCACGCATGTTGCTGTAAAAGGTTTCTGATGTCACAAGTTCACGGATCAGTGGAGAGGAAATGGTTAAGCAATGTATGGCTATGGCCCAATTTCTTGGATAGCGCTTTTGTGACCATATGTCTTGAGTCATTTATTTAGGTCAAAATCAGCGGGTTGTTCAGTCTGTCCAAATTCATACATCTTAAGTCCTTTGGAGTGAACATTTACCATGCTATGTCCCACCGTGAGTTTCCTGGTAATCGTTATCTGTAGTTATGCTCTTGTCTAGACCTTTTTTCACAGTTATCTGAAGATGCGGCATTTCGCTCAACTTGAAAGCTCTTTACTAGAAAATAAATAAATGGAATTCTCTTTGGGGATTTCTGTGCACATCTGCCAGGACCACCATATAGCTGTATGTGGAACATCAAAGACTGGTGTCAGGCAGGCTAGGATGGGGAACCTGGAATATCTAGCACCCTACTCAAGGCTCCTAAAAGCATCCAGTTTCCCCTCACTGGCAGATGCTGTTTGACAAGCTACCGTCAGGAACTGGGGAGTGAAGGAGATCTCTCACATCCATAGCAAAACGTGTGGCCAGGAAAGGATGCCCCCTCCCCAACCCCGATTCTGTGCCCAAATGGAAAAATCAGTTTGGCTTCTCCGAGCTAGCGTACAAGGGCCTCAGTACACACAGCTCACACCTTCCAACAGAAAGCATTCCGGCATTAGAAGTACACTGCTTTGAGGGCTAAAGCTGCCCACTGTACTTCAAGCTCACAATCATTGGGGTGTCCCCACCCATCAGGAACTCACAGCCTGTAAGAGAGGAGTTTACACCCTCCTCCCCCATAGTCAAATTTTGTGAATATAATCCACTTTGAAAATTTCAATACAGCAATGATTATTGCATGACTCTGAAACCTCTCTGTGTTTCCCTTGCCTTCTGAAAAAGCTCCCCATGCCCCCATTCAGTTCTCCCCTCGTCTGTGGCGATCCACGACAATTGCTGGCTCCTGTGCACTAATTGCCCCAGGTACAACCTCCACAGGCCTCTATTTAATTTCAAATCCAATAAAACTGTTTAAAAGCTCTTGTAGAGTTTAATTATTCTTTCCCACTGCTCTGCCCCTTTTTAAAAATTTTTAAATAACACTAGTATAAGAGTTGATGCCATAAGCCAGTGTAAAAATATCTTTAAACTCCAAATCAAAGCGAACAGGATGGCCCAAATATCTGACACAGAAGGGACAAATACTGGCAAAATCTTACAACAAATGGGTTATAGATATTTCTTCAACTAACTTTCACTTTAATGCTTTCCACTCAGAGGTGAACAAAGTTTATAAAGCAGCATAAAGCATGGGGAAAAGGAATCAGAATGTATTTTAACGTCCCTTCTAGGCCTAAAATTCTACGATTAGGACCTTTAAAAGATAACTTTAAGAAAGCCTGATAGAACTGGAGTAATTAGGCAAAAAGATCTGGGGCTAGACCCACGGGAGACCTTTCAGCAGTAAAAGATTGTTAAATATTGAAAGGTATTACATTAAGGATAACCTGTCATTCATTTTCTAGAACAGTGATTCTCAAACTTGAGCGAGCATGCACTGGAGTCACCTGTAGCATTTGTTAAAACTCAGCCACTGGGCAGGCCCCAGCCCCAGAATTTCTGATTCTGCAAGTCTAAGGTCAGGCCCAAGAATTTGCATTTCTAACAGGTTTCCTGGTGCTGCTGCTGCTGGTCGGCACGCCGTACTTCGAGAACCACTGTTCTAGAACACTGCCACTCCAAGTGTGGTCCACGGACCAGCAGCACTGGCATCACCAGGGGGCGTGTTAGAAATGCAGAACCTCAGGCCCCATCCCCAGCCTCCTGAACTTGACAGTTCATTTTAAGGAGATCCCCAGGTGACTCGTGTGCACCTTCAATGTTGAAAAGCACTACTCTGGAAGTTTTTAGTGGTTGGAGCAGTGTTCCCTAAGTTAGGAGGATGCAATGGAAAATAAACATTCCCCAAATTGATTCCCATGTTTTTACAATTCAGCCAATTGTAACAAATTTAATTTAGAAGCATTGTCCCTGAATTTCCACTCCCAGTCCTAGGTAGGATAACCCAACCCTGCACAGTTATATTCTAGTTGCTGAGGTCATATTAAGGAACATCAATAACTAGCTGAAAAATACTCATCTGGCCAGTTACTAACAAGAAAAGAGAGAGGACCTCAAAACCGATTAATCCCTGAACCACAAAAAGGAAATAAGTCTGTGGATATGGCTAGAGAGTTTCATCTTGCTTAAATAATCAGATTTTCATACATGAATAAACCAAGAAGCAATGCCCTCAGCTCTGTCTTGAGCTAACCGTAGGTCAGAGTTGACAAGCAACAACCTCAATAAGCAAGTATGTTCTCAAAGGCATAAGCGATAGGAACTCATTCTCTCTGCCCTCAACATCAGCCCTGAATGGGATCATTTGACGCGGTTCCCCTCTGCTTTGAGGCACCTAGGCTGCCTTGGACCTGGCTGTGCCCCCCCAGCCACGGCCTGACACACTCCTGCCCCTCCACAATTCAGCCAAGCATCTGCCAAAGACAGTTCATAACGAAGTCCCATTGTGCACATACACCGTCAACACGCGGCAGCTGCTGTTAAACGTTAGCTCCCTCCCCAAACCCCTGAAACATGAGCATTTGGACTTTGGTGGATTCCTTTGAAGATAGAATCTTCAGAACTCTGACTCCTCTGTTAGGTAGGATTCCGACCATTAGGTTAGGCAATGAAGTGAGGAAGTTTTCTCAGGGTGACTGCATCTTACTCCTCAGATCACACAAGGGAGGCAATAAGGCCAACCAGTCCTGTAAGCCAAATCCATTTAGCTTGTGCCAACTCATCCTGTACGGCACATGTCCCTAGTAGGGTGTTACTGAAAGTCTCTCTTAAAGGGATTTCTAGAGCTCAGGTCTTTGGCTCAGCTACGAAAGAGACCCAGAGCTGACTTTTCCATGACATCCTTGCAGGCCAGTTTGTTCAGAGAGTGACACGAGAGAACGAGTGGGCAGCAGGGGGCTGGGGTAGGGATCCTACAGCCAACCCTGGGCATCCACCAGCTGAGGACCCTCAGACTGGGAGAGGGTCTTCCCCAGGTCATGTCTCAGAGCCAGGTGTCCTCCCTCCCCACTGCCAGCCATCCACAATGAAGCCAACCATGGTACTAAGACATCTTACCTCCTTCTCTCAGTGGGCAAAGCCCTGCTCAGACAGTGGCCTCTCTGGCCAAACTTCAGGATGGACACATCTCAAAGACAACATTGGCACAAATGGCAGTTAGCAGCACTGCTGGGAGGAGTGAGCATCTCCTGGTGTCAGGAGCCAGGTGCAACCCGCTAGTCGGCCTGGCCAGCACCTGCTTTCTCAGAAGGGTAGATCCACGAGTTCCCCGTAGAACCGGGGGCCGTCACTGAGAAACCACGGCAGCTCAAATGTCAATGGTGACCATGGGAGTGTGGAAGCAGGGAAAGCCCTAGCTGAGTCCCTCATTCACCCAGGGCTGCATGCCGCCCATCTTTACTGGCGCTGATTTCTGAAGCCTCAGTTTCCCCAAGGGCTGAAGGAGCATACACCCAGGCGGGCAGGCAGTGCAGCTGGGGCTCATTAATGGCAACCCAAGGTCCACTTGGAAGGACACACGCAAGCCTTCCTCTTTGCTACTGGCTGCCCCAGTGGGGCCATCTGGAGCACAGGATCTGGCATCAACCCTCTATGCAAAGTTTGCCTAAAACTCAGAACAAATGTTTTCCCCCGATCAGCAACTCGAACTTCCTTGATCACATGCATCTTAATGTTTGTTGTTTTTTTTTTTCAGGAGTATGCAATTTGGAGGATTAGGGAGAAATTTGCCCGTGTGATAAGTTATTGGTAAAAGTAGCCTTAGGACACAAGCTTACTTCTCCCCAAACTATGA